GAAGGTATTCTGGGAGTTGCCATTTGCTAAGGGTGCAGAGAACTCTGTTTGAGAGAGTTTGGTAACCCTGCTTTCTTCACAGAACTATTCCTCCCAGGGCTTCCTGGAAGCAGAGAAAATTAGTGTTTACACCATTTATTGGTAGTGCTAACAGACATGCACCTTGGCAGAGTTATCCAAGGTTTCCTTATTTCCATCATTAAAAGGTCCTGAATAGATCAGTTGTTAGACCAGGAAACAAGCCACACCAAACCACCAAACCAGTGGTTCATGTCCATCTCTAGGCAGGGCTAAAACCACAATGCAAACTATGCGGTGATTGGAGGAATGGACTAACCAGGGGAATCATGGAAGTTCAACTACCTCTGAAGGGTCAAATAGTCTCTGCCCCAACCAACCCAATTGCGTTCAAACTCTGCCTAGAGGTTCGAATCTAGTTTTGGAGCTAGTACTGGAGCTTCCCTACAAGGCAGATACAAAGGGACTACTTTCACTTTAGGATTATTATGTCCATAAATAGGTCAGCCATATTAGATATGCAAGAATAAATTGCAATAACAAAGCACATCGTATTTGCAATCGATACTAGGCAGACTGGAATGTAGATTACAATGAAGTGTGAGTTCCTAATCTGATTATTCCACTGATTCAGTCATCTGCTTTTTTTATTGTACAAATCACTGGACAGAATGTTGCAACCTTAGCTGTAATTTCTCTTGAGGAATCAGAGAGGAGAAGACCAATACAGAATTTATTGCGTCTACCTGGATAATGTTTTAATACTGAGGAAATAAGTAGGTTGCGCGAATCTTTATAAATTGTGCAGTACAACAGGACATGCTTCACAACTTCAATCAGATCAGATTGACAGGAGTAAAAATGTAAGATATATGTATCTTCCTTGTAAAAAGGCTGAATGCAGAGCACTGAAACAGGCCAGGGTGAAATCTCTCCAGTGTCTCAGAAATTCTAAATTATAAAGGTAATTTGCTGGGATAAAGTTCTTACTATGATTTCAAGGAAAGATGTACATACTTTCCCTTCACATGATTTCCAGCCACTGAGTAATATGGGACCTGTGCTCTGTTGATTCAGAGGGCTATATCCCAGACCCACTTCCTAATAGACTCTTTGACTTTCTCAAATCCCAAACGATGATCATCTCTTGATACTCAAACGCGAACTGGCTTGAGTATCAAGATTTCCATTTTATTTCAACACCTACTGCTCCTGTGTTTCTTCTCTGTTTGATTCTGTTGTAATACTGATTAATGCAACTCAGGTACAATGAGGAAACAAAAATGGAACAAGACACCCTCAATTATAAGATCAATATACTAGAGCTGCAGGGTGTATAAAAACACTGAGATAGCCTGCTGAAGTTGGTTTCTTCTGAAGCACACAGCATAAAGCAAGTAATCTAATCCCACAAACTGGTATTAAACTTGTGCATTTCAGCCCTGTTTCTACACCAGACCTGCCCTGCAAATCGCAGCTCTACCTGCTTATTGACAGAGGGGAACTTTAGCAAAGTGGAAGGTGGACTGTACCACTGCAGAGTAGAGGTGCAACCTTTCATATTTTCTCTGCACAGACTATAACACCCCAGCCCCAGTTTTCTATTTAGGAGACATTATTTCATGCAAAGAAAGCCTGAAATATTATGTTGACTACTGGGATAGCTCGATGAGTTGGAACACCTGGCTGCAGAGCCCTTTAATTCCCCAGGTATTCAAGGAAAGATGTACATATTTTCCCTTCACTGTTACCAGCCTGTATGCAATGATCAGCATTGAGCACTGCATCTTGGAAATGTAATACTGGAAGCTGCCACAGGCTGACTGGAGCCAGAAAGCTGCTTGGCTGCCATCCCAAGAGCTCCACCAGTTAAGCATAGAAGAATAAGTGACTGGGAGTTGCAGTGATGCCTAGTGGTGCCACTTGGTCATACCACTGATCCCAAACTCCAACTAAATCATACTGCTGATTCCAAACTCAGTTCACTTCTTTTTTGTTCCCTTTTTCTGTTTGCAAAAAGAATGTAACAAAATCCATCCCCCACCTGCAGCATGGAGTAATACGATCCATACTGTACTTCATTATAGTTTATGAGTAAACCTCATGTAAGATACTGGTTTTTCCTGTCCAGTCATCAGCCTATTACCAATGAGTAATACAGGTATATGCGGGCACACAAGACACATGTGAGTTGTGAGAAATGTCAAGTAAATTCAGAGGCTTGAACATACAGGGCTGATAGAGATACATTTTGATTAATGAGAATGCATGGACCCCAAAATCCAGAACTTCGAGAACAGTGGCCAGTTGCTTTCCAAACAAACCCAATTACCGTTAACTACCGTATTTTTCCGTATATAAGACTATACTTTTGTCTAAAATCTTTAGACTAAAACTTGAGGGTCATCTTATACACAGAAGTAAGCTGCGGAGAGAACAAAAACAAGTGGAGGGGAAAGCAGGGATCAAAGCAATCCTGCAGCACGTTGATCCCTTTCTCCCTACACTTGCTAAGCCCCATTTAGATTTCTTAATTTTGGATTAGAAAAGTGGGGGGGGGGACATCTTATACATGGAAAAATATGATAACTTTCCATCCAACTGTACTCATTTGTTACCAAAAGGATCCAATAAACTTCAATGGAAGTCACCCCAGGTGTGTGTGAATAAGTCTGCCAGTGTACACTGTATCTATCTCTTGGAGGCAAGAAAACAGGGTTTCGTATTCTGTGTTCCTAACAAGTGCTCAGCATAGTCCCTGCTGACCATGCTCCAACAATGCATACACTGAACCCAGGCCTCTAAAGGGAACACAGAAGACAGACACACAAGCATCACTCTTGTGCAATGTAATTCTTTAATTTAAAGATTGTTCTGCAATACCCTTTAACTTATGCCAAAATGGTGTCTCTGTTGCCTGTGAGTGTAGTTCAGTACCTCTGAAGGACCAAGTTGGGGATGATTCCTTTAAGTCAGTCTCCACCAATCTCTCAGAGAAGCAGACAACACAAGCACATCTTTACTATGACAATTATTGTATTGGGTTTATTGTTGTTTCTTATATGAAAAATTGGTCGAATCCAATGCTTTCCCTCTCACTCATTCCTCACCATCATCAGCAGGCACAAAATAAGTCCAAGTTTGATTATATTACCTCCTAATCCTATCTTGGATTACATAAACCGCTTCTCCTGCACATACAAAACTCCTTCTGGGTCTCTGTTGTTGGACAATCTGGGACATGACAAAGCATGATAAAATAAACTATTGCTCTTAAAGGTTCCATAAAGCTTCTTAAATTTGGTCGTGTTGAAACAGATTACCATGGCCTCCTTTTTGAAAATTAATTTGTGTATTTTTTGTGTTTACATGCAAAGTTGAAAATGTGTCCCTGTAGGTTGACATCATTCCTCCTGCTGTTCTGTATTCTATAATACCATTTTCTTTCTCCCCACTTAGAAGTAGATAGGTTTACACTGCAGAAATCATACGCAGTGCTATTTCTCCAAGGCAACATAGGTACAAAATTGGTCCAAGTCTGATTATATTACATCCTAAATAATACTAATAATGTTAACCACCAAAATTGGTCCAAGTCTGATTATATTACAGTACTTCCTAAATAATACTGATGTTAACCATGATGGTCTTCTTCTGCAGCAGCACTCTCATCATGCCAAATTTCCCCAACTCACTGAACCAGCTCAAAAAGACAAATGTTGAGGCTGGCACTTTTTAACACAGAATATTCTAGAAGGTTAAAGCAAACCACCACTAAACTAGGCACAGCGTAAAATGCAGGCAGAGAAGAAATAAGACAAGCCTTTTTTTAAAAAATCCTTCCAAACTATGGCAGCTTAAACTCTCACAATGCCCTAACCCCCCCCCCCCCAGCATGGCTTTCTTTGCAGTATCTTCTCCATCTTATAATTACCCTTCAGGAGGGAAATAAAGTTGCACTTTTCTGCAACAAGGACTCAGCATCCACTTACTCATCCAGACCTAACAGGGGTGACCAGTCCCTTTTACCCAACATGCCTCGCTTCCTATTTCTAGCTCCTGCTTTCCAAGCAGAGAAGAAATACAGGAACCTATAGGACTCCCTTACACCATTGCCAAACTTAATCCTGAAGTAGCTCGCCTGTCTTCTTGGGAGGCTGCTGACTGGAAAGGCTTCCTAACCAAACCAGTCGGGCTTCCTGTACAAAGAAGCGAGGCCGATAACCCACATTTATTCTGGGGATTTCTCAGACCACCTTTTAAAAAATGTTCCCCATGGAAGGAACAAGAGGCCAACACCACCTTATTTTTAAAAGCCTTCTCCCCCCCCCCACCTTCCCCAAGGAATAGCCCCATACGATTCAGGGCAACCATTTCTAAAATGGACACCTGGGTTCATTTTACCTTCCCTAATTAGGCAGTTGCTGGTGCTAATTACTCTTTGCTTCCCCCCCCCCGCCGAGCCTTCTCAGCCAATTGCGGAGCGAAACGGGCCGTCGACCATTTTAGAAGGCTGGCCGAGACCCCGAAACCCCTTGAACCCAGCCAAGGGCCATTGCGTTATCGTTCCTTCTCGTCCTGGGCGTTATTTGTAACGAAGGGGAGGAAAAAAGCACCGTCCGCCCCAGGTCGACCAGCCCGCCTTTCGAAAACAGATCCCCCCCCTGCTTTTCCCAAATGCTCCTTATGACATTTCAAGAAGGGGATGGGGGGAAACGACAGGCGATAGAGAGGAGAGGGCACCGAAGGACCCCCTTTTTCCAGAGAGGAAATAAGCGTCCCCCCAACACACACACACACACGGCCCCTCCCCTCTTTCATACAAGGCGCCGCAAAAACTTTGGAAAGACCCCCCTCCCACCCGGGATCCCCGCCGAGCAACGCCGACCGTGAGAACCCGAAGAAGGGAAAGAGGTCCTGGGGGTGGGGGGTGGGAGAGACGGGCCGAAGCAGCCTCGGACACTCCCGGTTCGAGTCCTTACCTCGACTGGGCAGCCATGGTGGGAGTTTAGCAACCGGAGCGTCTTCTCCTGGCCATCGGCGGAACGTCGTCGCGCCCTCCCTATCCCCCAGCGCCCAAACACTTCTCCTCCATTTGCGGAGAAGGAGGAAGAGGAGGCTCGCCTGCTCGAGACCAACACTTTTAGGGGGGGCGACCCACTCGCTCGCACGCGCGCGCAGCCCCTTCTCCCGTCCCGTCCCCCCCGCTTCGCTGCCCGAGCTCCGGCGCTCGCTCTCTCTGTCGCTCGCCTTTCCCAAGGCTCAGCCCCGCATCAACGCTGACAAGACATCCGGGGACCCGAAAGCCCCCTTCAGGCCAAGCACAGGCATTGCAAGGCCCCGTCCAGGACCGGCGCCCGAGAGAGAGGGAGGGAGGGAAGACGGACGAGCAGGGAGAGGTTGGCCGCTCTCTGGCTCCGCCGCAGCTGAACCGGTCAGCCAGCCAAGTCGGGGGCGGGGCGGCTTTTCTATTAAATCCACATTCAATTAACCTCTTGTTAATTCACCCACTGCCCCCAAAGGCTTCCTCCTCCCACGGCGCGAGCCTGGGCTCTCCAAATCAGAAAAAAAAAAACCCACTTGTGCTAAAACGGGGATTGCAGGGGTGAGTTCCCTATCAATTAATTAATTAATACCCCGCCCATCTAGATCGAAGTGAACAAATCGTTATTAAACCCCAAGCAATCTTTTTGTAACACATCTTCCCTCCAACACGCACACACGGAACAAAGTGTATATGTGTGTGTACTTTTTATATATACTGTACCCACATGCATACCTTGTGCTAAAACGGGGATTGCAGGGGTGAGTTCCCTATCAATTAATTAATTAATACCCCGCCCATCTAGATCGAAGTGAACAAATCGTTATTAAACCCCAAGCAATCTTTTTGTAACACATCTTCCCTCCAACACGCACACACGGAACAAAGTGTATATGTGTGTGTACTTTTTATATATACTGTACACACTTGCATACATATACTGGGGTGTGTGTGTGTGTAAGCCAGACAGAACCCTAAACCCTATTGCCCTAACTTTTTTTTTCCCCTTCCACCGCCATCAGTGCAAAAAGTCCACCGTTGATGGCACTTGTCCCCTGAATGTAGTTAAGTGGGCACGGCACCAACCTCCTCCTCCTCCTTACATGGGCATGTTATTTTGTCAAGCGCAGGAAAAAAGGGCGGGTGGAGGGGGGGGAAACAAGCCCGGGCGCCGACCCTATCACGGGGGGGGGGAGAGAGAGAGAGCCAAGAGCCGCCTTCCCAGACTCACGCCCCGCCCGATCTCGGGAGGGAGGCGGGGGAAAGGAGGGAGGCCAACGCTACCCGCCGGTGCCAAAAGCCTTCAGATTGTGCAAACTTGCTCCAGCCGGGGACGCGGAGTTCCCAGCCATCTGGCACGGTGCTGGCTGGCAGGCAGGCATGCGTGCGTGCGTGCGGCGGGCATGCAAAGACAGCGGCTCTTGGAGGGGGGGGGGGGAAGGCACAAAAGAAGCGGCTGCGGCACCTGGACGGGGAAAGGAGGGTGAACTCCTCCGGCTCACCAGGCTTCCACGGCATAAGCATCGCTCTGCAGCTATTTCCATACCTTGCAAACCAAACGAGGAGGGAGCAGGGCTCGGCTTGCTAACCTATCTAGCCCGTGATCGGTCCCAACCCAACATTATACAGTATCTCCCACGGTGGATGACCGCATGGAGGTCCCTGCCTGTCCTTGTAGCCAGAAGCCTTTTTTAGGACTACAGTACTGTACACTGATTACCCAGCTATTAAGAATATTCTGATTGGCTCCCCGAGCCTGGGTTTTTTTTTGGTCTCCTTTTACGTGGTTTTTTTAAAAAAATACAAATGCATACTGTATTTGAAAACTGCAACAGCTGGAGCAATATTCTAAAATGTCAATAAAACTATTTAAGAAGCAATCGTTCTTTTCTCACATATAACAATTATTTGTCTTCTCTAGGATACAAAAACGAAACAAAAAAAAAGGTGGAGGGATGGGAACCCTGTGCGAAGCCCACTCGGAAGTGGGGCAACCAAAGATGAAATGGTGCCTGCCTGACTGATTCAACAAGCCCTCCTTTCGAAACTGGGATTTTAGTGACTGAAGTTCTCCAAGACTGAAATTACACAGCCATGTATTTAGGCTTTCCGGTTTCACCACTCCTCATTTTATTACCATCTAGCTTCATAAAGATGTCTCTACAGCTCAAAACCTTGCATATTTTGTGTGTTTTCAAGTTAGTCATAATAAAGGCCAAGATTTTGGTGGATTTTGGTGGTCTGTTTTTCTTTTAAGAGGATGTCTGCCATGTCTTCATATGAAACATAATAAAGGTAATATATCCCTTGCTTCACAATTAACATTTTACCAAAAAAATCATTAGAACAAATCAAATGCATATGATCATTCAATTGATAGTCTTTATTTTCCCTTCACGGATTGCTGCCTTGTCATGGCAAAGGGCCTTGAGTAATTCAGAGAAGCTATGGGCTATGCCGTGCAGGGACACCCAAGACGGACAGGTCATAGTGGAGAGTTCTGACTAAACACAATCCACTTGGAGTAGGAATTGGCAATGCCACTCTATCTTTGTCAAGAAAACCCCATGAACAGAAACAAAAGGCTAACAGATATGACGCTGGAAGATGATCCCCTCAGGTGGGAAGGTGTCCAACATGCTAGTGAGGAAGAGTAGAGAACAAGTACAAGTAGCTTCAGAGCTAATGAAGTGGTTGGGCCAAACCCGAAAGGACGCTCAGCTGCGGACGCACCTGGAAGTGAAAGGAAAGTCTGATGCTACAAATAGAAATACTGCATAGGAACCTGAAATGTAAGATCTATGAACCTTGGTAAGCTGGATGTGGTCAAACAGGATATGACAAGAATAAACATTGACATCCTGGGCGTCAGTGAACTAAAATGAAAGGGAATGGGCGAATTCAATTCAGACGATTATCATATCTTGTGGGCAAGAATCCCATAGAAGAAATAGAATAGCCCTCAAAGTCATCAAAAGAGTGGGAAAAGCTGTACTGGGATATAAACTCAAAAATGATAGAATGATTTCAATACAAATCCAAGGCAGACCTTTCAACATCACAGTAATCCAAGTGTATGCATCAACCACCGATGCTGAAGAGGCTGAAATTGACCAATTCTATGAAGACTTACAACTCCTTCTAGAACTGACACCAAAGAAAGATGTTCTTCTCACTATAGGGGATTGGAATGCTAAACTAGGGGTCAAGAGATAAATGGAACAACAGGGAAGTTTGGCGTTGGGGTTCAAAATGAAGCAGGACAAAGGCTAACAGAGTTTTGTCAAGAGAACAAGCTGATCATCACAAACACTCTTTTCCAACAACACAAGAGGCAAATCTACACATGGACATCACCAGACGGGCAATACGAAATCAGATTGATTATGTTCTCTGCAGACAAAGATGGAGAAGCTCTATACAGTCAGCAAAAACAAGACCTGGAGCTGATTGTAGCTCTGATCATCAGCTTCTTACAGCAAAACTCAATCTTAAACTGAAAAAAGTAGGAAAAACCACTGGGCTAGTCAAGTATAATCTAAACCAAATCCATTACTGTATTAATACACAGTGGAAATGAAGAACAGATTTAAGGAACTAAATTTGGTGGACAGAGTGCCTGAAGAACTATGGCTGGGGGTTCTTAACATTGTAGAGGAGGCAGCAACAAAAACCATCCCAAAGAAAAGGAAAT